GCAAGGCGGCGAGCAAGGAGGCGACGAGCAAGGAGGAGAAAGCGGAGAAAACGGTGGTGAAAATCGAAGCGACTTGTACGAACATAACGCGTTCGAACGATTTGGAAAACAACGGTCCGAGGGAAAAGGAGGAGAAGGTTGCATCGTCCCCAGACGTGAACACAGCGTTGAAGAACAGCAACGCGACGGAATCCACCATCTTCTTGAGTCGATCGTAAGTAAAATCGTTTCTATCCCACTTGTTTATTTCCCTCCAACGATAGGAAGACGATTTAACGCTTTCTAACGCTTTTCATTCTCGATTCGCTCGGTTTCCTCGGAAAATTAATCGGCAAGCCTGCCGTTAAATTTCTAAAAAACGGTCCTCGTTTATTATCACGATCGCTGCGCGTACGATCTCCGGCCGGTCGAGTTCGCGCGCACAAAGGAAAAAGAAAAAAAAGGGGCGAGAGATCGTACGCGGAGAGAAGTAGGTGGAGAGAGAGAGAGAGAGAGAGTACGTAAAAATTGTGAGAATTGTGAAAAATCCAGCCCGACGACTAGTCACGGTAAACAAGAGGACGACTTGAACGCCATAATTCGACGCATGATAATGATGGAGTTGAAGAGGCACAGGAAGAAGGAGACGGTGTTGAAGAGGGCTCACTCGGACACGGAGAGCACGCTGGCGAGGAAGAAGCGAAACGAGGACAACAGGTACCGTCATTTGGATTTGGGCGCGGAAACGTTCGCAACTTCGATAAACACGCGGAATTGTTTCAGAACAGGTCTGTTCGGCGGCAAAGGCCAAACGTTTTTCCGAGATTTGCTGGAGCTCGAGGAAAGCCTTCGTAAGCGGACCGACAACGAATCGGATTACCAATTGACCGACAAGGTCGAGATCGATCGGCCGATCGCGAAACTCGAGAATAGCGGCGAGCGAGAACAAAATCGGTCGAGGAACGATATCGACGTGACCACGATCGATCCTGCCCGCTACTCTCTAAACTCGATAGGAACCGCTTACAAGTCGGACTCGAATATCGAGCTCGAGAGGAAAGTGAACGCGTCTTGTCTCAAGGATGCGGAGGGGAAACGATCGATCAAGCACAGAAAGTACGTTGCTCCACCAATTATTTAACGAGCATTTTTCTAATAAAAACATATCCCGTGGAGTGCGTTTCGCGATAATATGAATTTAAACCAATCAATTTTCTTG